GCAATCGGACCCCATGTGGTCCAGTGTGTGACGCTCAACCGTAGACGTGAATAATGCGCCGTATCGAATACTAGTCGACTCCGCCCATTAGTATAACCGACTTTACGATGACAAAACGGGATAAGATAACAAAAGAAGATCGTATTTCGTTATTTCAAGAATACGATTGATTATACGAAATTTTCTAATTAATACAGCAGATTCATGCTAGATTTATAAGTACAAACAGCAGCGCTTTTATTTCCTCCTTTTCAACCATTTTTGGCCTCCATTTTTTTGCCATCTGTTATTTCCGGTATAAGCCGGCAAATTATCTTTATCAATTTACACTGGTTTAATTTAATTCGAACCAAAAATTAGTTGTTTGGACTCAATATACTGTTATCGTTGCCCTTGTATCTTACGATGTTAAAATTAAGTGCTACATATTAATATTTAAATTATAATTTTACTAAACTTTTGAACTTTTCTAAAAGGCATTTTTGGGAATTCAAAAAGTCTCAAATGTAATATTTTCGTGGAATTTCCTATAATGCATTTTTTGTTAAATATGCGAAATGTAGCGACACACATTTATCTTAGTTTATTTTTCAAACCCACAAAAGAATCGGGAAAAATGTAAAAAGCAGAAATTAAAGAATTATCATAAACTGTGATTTATTTTTGTCTTAGCTGCACTGATCGTTTACCAAACAAAGCAGCATAAAAATTTAATATTTGTTATTTTTTGGGCATTCTTCTCTTTTTTTTTGCCTGGTTCATAGATATTGTCAAAATTTCCTCATATTGGCTTGAGGCTATCTGGGATCTATTCATGACAGGACTGTCCTGTCGACTCCTGTACTAGGCAGAATCGCTAATGTGATCACTGTCGAGATATGGAAATATTTCTAAGTTGAACAAATAAATATCCAAGTTGTAAAATGAACAAATTAAACCTAAAATAGTATTTTGACATTGTTGAATGCTTTAAAAAACGAAGTGTTAATTGATGCAATTTTGATGTCATACTCACAAAATAAATATGGATATATTCTAGATATCAGAATAGAAACAAAATTGATTTTTGTACAGTAAGAAACAGTTATCCAAAAATCCGCCAATGGCAGACTTATGCAGTACAACACGGCATGAACTCTGACCTCGAAACGACCGTTGATCTTTTATCTCTGAAACATCTGCTGATTATAAACATAGAATGACCAAATGACCAAGGATGAAATTTAATGTAAATGTTTAGACTTTTATTCTCAAGACCTACCTGAAACGATGGTTTACGTATACTAGACAGATAAATGTTCTGCACGCATTTTAATTCCAATTAATCAAGTATGGTAAGCCGTGCAAGAATACCAACAACGTATTTATCTGTCGACCAACGACCACGAGCCCAAATGCTGAATAACCTATTAATTAGGAAGCTTTGACCATCTTTTATGACGTGTTAGTTTCTGTTGAAATGATATTGATGACGTTTTGTAAAATTTGCCGTTTACTCAGTTCAAACTACCCGGCCTCTAGCCAGCTCACCTAATAAAGTTTTCATTTAGTATCATTCCTTTGGATAAATTACTTTCACTAGTAAGGATGGGGATTTTGATTTGCAGCAAAATCCTATTTAATTTACTGATTATTTCGGGAAGCTCATGGTTTATATATAAACGCCTCCATTCTAGCCGACATCAGTCAAATTTGGATAGTGCGCAAACAAAATCATCCTAAAAACAAATTTTAACGCAGACAATTCTCGCATGCCGTCTCGCCGCTAACCTATCTATTTTCCATAGCTATCTAATTGTGGTTTAGCGTTTTTAATAAAAGAGTTCAATACGGGTAAACGGACGTAACCTTTATAAGATATTTTAATGAATTGTAATCGCCTATAAGAAGTCGGATTTCACTTTTGAGACCAACGTGGATGACTGAAGAACGAAGTTGCGATCACCGTATTTTGATCCGTTGCATTCTTTGCAAATGTACATTTGTAAATGGTTCTGAATAACAGAGTTTAGAAAACTTCAATGGAATACGCCCATTTCATAAACTTTGTACGCAAATTCGGAACAACTTTTGGGAGTTTTACTATTTACCCAGGTTTGCACAGGCAGAATTGACAAATACAGCTGAAAAGCGATTTGTGGTGTTGAGTAACCATATCCTAAATTTTTGCGTAATTAGGTCAGAAATTGTAATATATCATCGATGTTTTCTATTTAAATATGTCAAATCCGAGTGGGGTATTTATATTTTGATTTGGTTGACGTGACTTCAAAATTGGAGGCGGCAATCTGGCGCCATGTAACGTCTTGTTTATGTCACGGTCGCGATCTTTGTCAGGAAAAGTTAGAATATAGAAGGTTTCGATTTTCCGCAAACACGATTTATTTTAGGGATTATGTACATTGTCTTTGAAAGATTATCCACGGCTGAGTGTTGTGATATTGTATACCCAAATACCGAACAGAATATAGAAATATATTGTAATTGAGAGCATGGATGCTACTTTCCGATTATGAAATCATACTGGTATCTATTATGACAAGAGTTAACTTTGGAAAAATTTTGATACATTCAACTCTTCATTTGAAATAAGTTTTGTGTATGAAATTTTGAGTCAGCACCATGTAATGGTTATTACGTGATGTATTTTGATTGAAATTGTGTATCGCTATAAAGTAAAAATGTTACATGGTCTTTTCTATGCGAATCAAATTTTATTCAAATATTTTTTTTAAAGTCCGGATATCCCGAAACATATTTCCTGTATCAGATTTGAAAATGTTCAAATCGTTCTAGATACAAATTACATTACATTTTTGTACTTATACTTTTTTAAATCATTTAATTTTAGGAGTTTCACATTCCAAAAAATGAGATGTGATCAATTTCGCCATTTTAATTTCGCATGATATTACGTTCACCCCCGCACAATCCCGTGATATTTTCTCTACTTGTGTGGTCTGGGGGTCGCAGTGTCGTTCGATTTTACTACGGGTACAATTTTGAGTTCACGGAAAGACGACAAAAACTAGTGTACCTCGCTCATGACAAGTGCTAGCTAGAATCTATTGGATATAACAATTCGAATTTACAGCAGATCGCATCTCGTAAGGGAATAACTTGTACTGAATGTTTAGATCACACTTGTTCTAACGGAAATAAACGTTCTGACCCATTTCCTCAAATTTATTTTCAATATGATTTGATAACATTCTATTTATTTTCAATCGTGCATGGAAACTAATCTACCAATGTATTGTTATCTTCTTTCCTAGTCACGATGGCGCTGAAATTTCTAAAAACTACAAAAAATCTGAATATTAAAAGTGATGCGGCTGTTCCATATGTCACCCATGTATGCGTGACATGGATTAGTTTTACAGGGGACAGGGGTCAGTTGTATTTTCCCGTAAAATTCAAATTTACTTATGTCACAAAACAAAAGCCGATTTTTAACAAAAGTAATGGATAGTGGTAATACTCAAAAAACAGTATGCTACGTTGCCTACGTAGGTTTGCTCGAATTAAGATCGCTACCTTGAAATAGATAGACTTGTTTTACACAAATTATATTTATGATACACATAATAATTTTGTTCTTAAACTTCAAATGTCAACTTGCAATGTCAAATAATTTTACATAGAAACCGTGAAATCTTCCATTTTCAAAACAATATTTTACAAGTTGACAACCATACTATTGTGTTAAAAATCATGATATAGTTTGATCCCTTACAGGTGTCATTTGTTGTTATAGCCTGTATTATTATTGCGGATAAAATGTAATATTAGTTGTTATTGTATTGGCAATATTCTTGCGCAATGCTATTCTCTTCACTTGGTCATTGTAGGAAATCCTGGTTACTTACTAAAGTATAGTACTTTGCGTCATCAGAACTTTTCCGGTTACGTTTATATGAAAAACCTAGCGTTTTCTAGCTGTATTCTCTCATTTCTATGCAAAAAGCTAAGTTGACTTGAGAACCAAAAAAGAAACTTAAAACAATCAAAAATATTTTGTGTTACTTTTCACCTTGTCAAACGTTGACACGCCCGCTTGTTTCAAGTTGACATGTTATTACTGGAGACTAGACGGATTATATGCATGATTTGTGGTAGAAAAACAGCTGAAAATTTTGGAAATTTTTTGTTTTCGTTCTTTTAAAATCTGTCATGATGTTTTTATAAATTGAAGTTGTTGTAACATGATGTATTTGGACCATTGTACGGCTAATGATCATAATCAATATATTTCCCGACACATTCTTATCAGAAAAAGTGCTTTCCGTGTGCGAATAGCATTGAATATCGCTCAGATAAAAGTCATTTTGTGACGTGGCATGGCGCGCCTTAAATCGACGTCACAACAAGACATTAACGCGCTGCCTTTGAACCAAGATGACCTTAGTGAATTCCAACTATAAAGTGATGCCGTTCACAACATGGCGACGCCGTAGAGTGCAGAAACTTGTTTTACTTTGGAACTGTGGTAGATTATGACGTCATCACCATTAAAGCTATTTCTTTGAAACACGAGTTTTCAATATCCCATGTTAGGTTGGAGGAAACATAGGATTTGATACCAAAATGTCACATTAGAGCTCTCTAAAAGGGTTTTAAAACGACGGGCTTATTATCACGACTAGGCGAAATGACCCGTTGCGCAAAACACATTCTGTTTTAAGATGTTTCTGCCTCGCTATAAGTGGTTTCCTTGGGATTTTGAACAACAATGCCTTATGGAATTTTTACTGCTTTCATCTTCAACGAAAACTGATTGCGGACTGTTAATTCAATATGTCAGAAAACATTTTTATGGATATAAAACTTTAAAAATACGGCGAATTAAATCCGTCTTTGCTTTTATTAACAATTGTGCATTTCCTAGTGTTAAATTGTTTATGCAATATTTATAATATTCGGTATCGGTTATCTAATTTATCGCTACCATTTCTTTTTATATTTTCAATTAAAAAAAATTTTTTTTTTTTTGTTGGCAGCTGATCCAGCAGTGGAGCAAATTCCGAGTAAGTAAAAATCTTTTCTTTTTTGCCATTCCAACCAACTTCAAATCTCTCAAAACCAACTTAAGCGAATTCTAACAAAACAATTATTATTTAAACCAAAGTATTCAAACAAAGTCAAAGTACCGATCTGTACAAGGCCTGAGTAACAAATCAAATTTAGTTTAGTTTTATCTGCTGGAAATTCGATTTTCCATTCACACAGACACCCTATTCAATGTAATAAGCAAATTGCAAAGCGATCGTTTTGGCGATAATTCTGAAGATTACATTCAATTCAATTTGGTATATTTGTAGTATTAATTTCTTTTTAGATCCATTAGCTAAGTAAGTTTTTTTTTTCAGCGAAACCACGATTTTCATTCCCTACTAAAATGAGACGATGGAATTTGGTGAAACCGGTTAACAGCTTTTTAAGATTGCGATGTAGAGCTTCAGGGTTGCCGAATCCAAATATTGAATGGTATGTGATGAATTTCAGCAAAACATCAAACTTATATTTAAACGCATAATTTCACAGCATATCTTACTTTATTTAATCTATATAGGTATAAAGACGGAAACCTTACAGATGAACCAAGTTCGAAAACGGTCAAACAAAATCGCCCAACATGGGTTTATACTATCCGGAAAGCACAACTAACCGACTCCGGGCAATACAGATGTAGAGTGTGGAACAGCGCTGGAGAAATTAACTTTACGTATAAAGTCCGGATAGTAGGTGAGTTCGAAATTTGTTTTAAAAAAATGGATAAAATTCGTGACTTTTTCTCAATTTCCATCCAATTATTTGGTAAAATCAATTCATTCAAAATTAAATGGAAGAAAATCATGATTTTAGAGCTAATCAAAACTTTTTTATGTTATTGACCGTTCTCAAACCATGCACATAATTCTCAACCTTTGAGTATTGGCAGGGCGACAGTAAAATACCGGATTCTATTTGTTAACAAATACCCTTTTACTGTCTGTTAACCGCCGTTGTAAATCCAACACACGCGAAACTACTAATTAGGGGACGATGCAGACGTGTAAAATAAGCCGTGTGGATCACCCATGCAAACTAAGATAATACCATGGGGTGTGAGGTGGACACATAAAACATGATTTATGGGAAGCGCAGGATCTTGGCTGCTAACACGGAGTTGATTAATGATTCTGGGGAAAATTTGACATTTAGTAAATGTTGGGTGACCATCGTAAAGCTATTTTAGTCTTTCTCGTAAAGTTTAAAATTGAAAACTGCTTCAACATACCGTTGGTTTGTCTCGGTCGCAATAATATAATATAAATATACAGTATATATGAAAAATGAATTTTTGATATCTTGCTGCTTTATTTTGGTTAGGGCCTCCTTGGTATATGTTAGAAATCTTTGTGCAGATTTGTATCTATGTAAAGCGATACCAAAACAAATTGAAAGGGAGATTTTAAATCATGCAGCTCTCGTGTAATTGGAAGTGCTACATGTAAAATAGAATCTTATCCTACCATCACGTTTTTATACAAGGGTGGAATGCGGAAATGAATCCACAAATATCGTTATCAATAATCGTCCTGAAACGAAGTTGATAACGCTATATGCATAAACATTTGTCAACTGAGGTGTTTACTTAGAAAGCAGTGAGGGTGAATAACGCGTTTGATTCAGGTTCGAAAAAAAAACAGAATCGTAGGACATACCAGAAGGCAGAAAATATTTGGTAGCAGCTTAGCTTTTTCTGAAATTTTGGAAAATCATTGAAACATACATGATATCGTTTGAGTTGTATTGAATGGATTTTTTCTGTTAATAATTGATTGAATTCCCGACTCGACTATTTGATATATAGAGTTTACTGCCCTCTGGGTTGTTTGTCTTCATTGTTTGTTCGATGATGCGCGCTGGCCCTTAAACAAACACCCCGAAAACATGGATATTGACACGATACGTGAGTTTAGTGTGACTTGTGTAATGTGCGAAATATACTCTTGATAGTGATCTAGCGGCAGTTATTTCAAAAATGATAATTCGTTATTTGATTTTTTCAGATCAACTACGTGAGAGACCCACCCTCCTTGAACCCCATCCCATGGACACGACCGTACATGTCGGTGGCATGACTACAATCCAATGTCGAGTGCAGAGTCGAATGAAACCAACAGTCAAATGGATAAAACGAATGGATCAGAATTCAATAGCCGCGTATGGAGATGATTTGCCTCAAAAAATGATCACCATTGAAGGAAGACATTATTTGATATTACCAACACAAGAGGTAAGCTTAAATAAGTGACAGTGTTTGGGCGATCTTCAAAATTAATGCATGTATTGATCATATGTCTATTCCATAGTTTCTCAAACTATGTTCCGTGGAACACTGCTGTTCCGCGAGCTTCTTCAGAGCGTTCCGTGTAACAGGGATTGAAATTGAGACTGATTTGGTCGCCATGGCCATCTCGATCATACTTCGGCGACTCTGGATCTTAAATTTGTCTCCCAACTGGCGACAAACGGGCGGACAGGCCTCGTGCCCGCCTGGAAAGCATGATGTTTTTGTTAACCGTTCAATATCGTCGGTCTAATTTTTCAGTTCTCAAGTTCACAGCAAACCTTTTAATCTTACCAAAGGCTGAATTTTTTGGAAACCGTCCATTAATTTTTCCTTCTAGTTTCTTGGTAACGGTAAAAAGCGTAGGTGTTCTGGGGCCATAAAAAAAGATTGAGAAACGCTGGTGTATTCTATTGTCTGCAGCCATCAAACCACAATCATACTCCAAGGTCATACTCATAATCACAGTCATACTTCCTGAAATACTTACATATTGAATAATTTTTCCTATTTTTAGATGTTGTCACTTCCAAATGGATCATATTTGAACAAGCTGGTTATTCGTGGTGCAACAGAGAAACACGCTGGCATGTATATCTGTCTAGCCGCTAATACAATGGGATATAACTACAAATACGCTTACCTCAACGTCACTTCAGGTACGATAGTTAGTACTGATATTGGTAGAGATTTCTTTTTGTTATTTATTGCCATACATCCTCAAAAATTCTTCATTATAACGAGTAATACTTGCTTGGTGTATTGAAACTGCAGTTAGAGTGCATTAATAATCAATATACCCAAGATTATAACACATATACACACTATAACACATATACGCTTTAACCTTAACAGGACCCGTGAATACATCATTGAGAAGTACCACACCCCCACGAACACGGATAGGAGGACAAGCTCAACCGGGTAATTCCCGGAGGGGGTCGGCAAACAAGCAAGGAAGCCTCTCACTCCCGGCAATCATAGGCGCTCCTGCGGGTATTGGTCTTGTTATGGTCGCTTTTCTTGCATGGTAAGTCAGGATTTTATTGTCTGTTCAAGTGTGGTCCATAGATAAATCGAAAGTATAAATATATTCCATAGTGGAAATGTGTTGACGTGTCCAGCGTACTTTGGCCATGTTTGACCTAAATTGGTCTGTGCTCAGCCGTTAGATAAATCGCTTTTTGCTCCAAAAATCGATTTATCTATGGCGGGCCATTCGTGATCTGATGATAAATTTCTGACTAAGCTCTAAATCGCAATTAATTCTTTATTTTTTCAATCCATTAATTATTATGGTATTCAACATTCCAGGTTCTGCCATCGTCGGAGGGAACAGGCCCTCAAGAACGAGACCGCAAATACCGTGGTTGTGTCGGGATCGGACGACCGGTTGTCGGCTCTGGGTTCCAGCAGCGTGGAGACGAAGTCGACGCGTTCGTCCCCGGTTCCACAAGAGTGCGATCCCCACCAGATGGAGGAAAACAATAACAGGGAAAATACGTTAGGAGGCGTCCCCGAACGACAGAACAAGCATGCAGAATCTGTATACACGAGACACCATACTTCAAAATCACCACCTACCGCCGGAACACCGCTTTTGACGGTCAACGAACCAGACGATATGGACTTACAATATCACGATCTACCGACAGATGATGACACGTACGCCATGCCACTGGCTCCGCCTTGTTCGGAAGCCGCCACGTCATGCTACTCATTTTCTGAAGACAAATATCGAATGAGATTAGGGCCTCCTCCACCCCCTCCCCCATCACAACGGAGCACATCATCTGTATCGTCTTATCCAGACCCAGCACCCCCATACCCTCACCATTATCATTATATGCATCCACCTGGAAATGCAAGGAGGCATCAACATCACCACCACGCGAGACCAACTCACTACCATTATGGTTACTGAATATATCTGACAAAAAACAATCGCAGTATGCTTAAAAAACGAAATAAGAAAAGCGTTTTCTAGTCGACATTAGAGAGCATCGAGTTGTACACCTGTTTGTGGTTTCTGCCTATACCTTCACGGAACTGCTTTGGGGTGAATTCCTCTTGTTTGTGAGACTACACACTCTTTAGGAAGCGGGACAATCGGTTATTTCGAACTTATATCATGAAAGTTTCATTTTCAGCAATTTCTTTCATTTTTAAACAACTAGCTGTTCGTTATATAATTTCGTTTAATTAGCCATATGTCATTCGCTAGAGAAATGGCCATTTTATTGTATGTTGCTTCTGCGTTGAGCTTGATATTATTAAATAATTTTCTTTTATTATTGTACAGCATTTCACTTTAAATCATGGGAAATTTTATCTTGAAATATTGTTTTTGGTACTTTTATTCTTATGCTTTTTTGTTTTTTCGAATCCTTCGTCTTTTTTTGTTTTGCTTTTTTTATTTCGATTTTTCTTTTATTTCGTTTTTTTGAAATATTTGTCTCGTCATCAGCTTTGTAAGAATACAATCTATTCGTTTAACTACAGTGGTTCTTAACCTTTGTGAGCCTGCCGAACCCTTACGCTATTCCGCGAACTCCTGTCGAACCCCAAATTTTTGAAGTAAGAGCGCAAACTGAACTCATTAAGGGTAAGCCGTCAAGAGTGTATCATCCACCGAAAGAACCCCTGTTTGCGCCATTGGTTGTAGCAGAATAAATTGCAACAAACAGAAAACTTCATTCATTAGATTTATTTGTGCCACTTCTGCTGCTGTTTTTCGGTGACCAACTGTGAGATACGTGGCTTCGTTTCAGAAAGTACAATCCCGATGTCATTTTCGCATTGGAGTCATGTTCAGTTGGGCAGGTATAGCCGTACTACATCAGACCAATTTGTTTTTTTCTTGAATGACATATTTCGCGAGAATGACTCCTCAGAATTGCAAAGAGTTTTCGGAAAAAAGAAAAGGCTGGGCTGGGCATTTTCGATTACCTGATGATTTCAATATCGAATCTTGAATATTTTGGAGTCAATGGGAGACATGTAATTGTATGCGATTTTTTTTTTGTATTGTAATTGGTCCTGTCAAAAAATGAATTACTGAAAACATAGAATACATCATTAGGACCAATTGCGGAGCGTTCACACACAATAACAAAACGCTTAATTATCAATAACTCACTACAAAAAAAATTGCATTGAAAAAATATGGCTACAATAAAATAAAAAATTGGATAATTCACCTCGATCATTAGCGGAGAGTAAAAAACAAGATGGCGGCGATTTGAAATTTTGCTTTGGACCAATTCAGATAATTTACTATTGGAATAATCGATTCGGAGTGCCAGCCCTACTCGTTGGCAGAAAGATTTTTTTGTAATTAAAGTTGTGCCGATGGAAATGGCAACATTGGAGATTCAGAATTTGAGATACTGTATCGAAAACATTGGTGACTTAAGTAATACACATCACAGATTTCAACCTGTCCTCAGATGGGTATAAAAGCATTATTACCATATTGTTTCACAGAAACACGATATGTAAAAGCGGCTAAGCGCTACATCGTCGATGGGTGATGATATAGCTCCGCCATAAAATACCATGTTCTGTTAATTCTATCTTTCAGTGAAATTCGAACGTGCCCTAATTCCTCATTCATTTATGTGCAGTTATTATATTCAACTTGTTCGTAAAATTGATCTACTCAGGTTCAAAACCTCGAGGTTTGTAATAACAAGTCAGATAGCAACTAAAAAATGAGGTCATACCGAGGTACGTACATCCAAGCGCGCGAAGTCTCTCATTGACAGGTTTTACAAAACATTTATCTGCGCAATACTAGACATAAATAGGCTATTCTATAAATGGTCTGAATATTGAAATTTGGATATCTCCCTTGTTTTATAGTTTTTTTTATATATTTAATTGGCTCAGAAATAGAAATACTTCATAATACACAACGAGTTCACAGGACCTTTGTCGAACCCCTAGTACAGCTCCTGCGAACCCCAAGGGTTCGATCGAACCCAGGTTGAAAAGTACTGGTTTAACACATGGTGAGAAGGAAATGAAACAATAGGTTACGTCATTACAGACCCAATTTGGACATATTATAAAAAGTGCAATAATATCTTCCCAATTGTTGTTGTAGCTATGGCAAAAGTTTGATATTTCATGAGAATAATTCAAATCATTTCCAGTTCCGGCAATAAATTCCAGGACTGATGATTTTCAAGTTATGTGCATTCTGAATTTTGATATATCTATGGTCCTGACATAAATTTCTCTTGATGGGTACGGGTAAAATAATACACCCACGCTTTCATTTATACAAAATTCAATTTGTTATCTGTCTAACGCGAAATCTCACCCGAAGTATCTTTCTCTGTCGTATAATGTCATTCACAGCAACATATTTTCTATTACAAAAATGAAGTGCGGATTATGGACTTTGTTGTCAATAATTTTACGGATTAACTTCGATATAATTAGCATAAAAATGAGGTAATTCGCTTCCCAAATCCGAGTGTAATTTATTGATGAACCGTACTTTACAAGCGTGAATTATCTCAGGTTCGACGGACAATACAGTAGTAATAATCAATAACGAGCAGATGGTGAAACGTGAGTCAAACTCAAATGCATGTATTCCCCGGTGCATTTTTCAATATACATGTCTGAAAATAAGGCAAAGACAAATTAAAGAATTTCGCTCTGTGGCAATATGGTTGTTGATAGGAAAACAACATCAGTAATGAATGTATTGCATACAGTCTGTTCAATGAGGCAAGAAAAACTGATTAGTCTGGTGCGACGGGGATGAATATCTGACTTGTTCTCTATATTTTTAGAGTATATAGTATACGGAAAGAATTGTTTACGTTAGATATGTTAGTGCTACGGAATACCGTAACTATGTTCAGAAATGAGGACGAAATATCTCCCAGAATATTATTCATCCGTAGTGTATCACTGTAGTATGCATTAACAAACAACTTAAGCACTTCATTCAAATTCAAGGCAAAACTAAATCGAATGTTACAATTTAAGAAAAATGTTGGTTAAATCATTTAGAGATACAGATACTCTTAATTATGACAACTGTGCTAAAATACTCACCAATAAATTCCTACAATCTCACTAATAATAGAAAATACTTTATCATATACCCGAAACTTGAATTTGTAAAGCCATGCTTTCTAATTTCAAAACTCAAACATAAATATATCAACTTTTCTCAAATATCTCACATCTCGACCACGCCGACAAACGAAGAAACATATATATATATATATATCGTCAATTCTATCTATTATGGTATCTGCTACGCCTAATGTTTACTGTCATATTTGATTACGTGGAATTCCCCAGGTTTTTGTAATGTAATTAGAAACGAAAAATGAGTCACTTTTAAATTTTATTGATTTAAACTTGCACAGACCATCAGCATAAGTAAACGGCGCTGTGAACGAGAAACCCATGACGAAAGTTAAAAGAGATACTGTCTATTCAATACAAAACATGGAAAATTGGCTGAACTTGAGGACTTGAATTCAGTTAAGATTCAAGTTTTTTCACATAGCTATTGATTAAATTTAAGACGATCGCAAAACTAAAGTGATTCGGTTTCAAATTTCAGTCACAGCGTTATGAAACGGCCGACCACTCTTGCCATGAATATTTGATAAGCGCGAAATCGCAGTTCGTCTCATTGGCAGGGAAATGAAGAGAGGCTTGCCCGCCTGCGCTGTCGAGAGAGGAGACTTCGATGCTCTGCTTATGTTTGAGATACGGAGAACAGATGACGCAGACAAAAGCCTAATCGATCGCGTTGCGGTCAAGGAATTTTCACTATTGATTGGATTTCTGTTTTCTTCGCCATTGTCTGCTTCTCTTAATCATTTGTTAATTTTAAACTAAGAAAGCTTTTGGTGTTTATGTAGCTGATAAAAACATTGCAGTCTACTTTGATTCGTGTTAGATAAGCGATTTGAAGGAAACTGAAAGTTTGAGAAGTACATTACAACGAATCTTCATCGCAGTTTATGTAGGTTTGTACTCGTATTGAAATCGTAGGTACATGATAACTAATTTTTGAGTTTGAAAAATAATATTTTTTATAATGCTATCAAGGAGGAACAAAACCGTCGACTTTAGTTTTGCACAGCTTGAAGTGAGATTGTTAACATATGCATTCTTGGATATAAAAAATGATATAGTTTTATTAAATACATTATGTCTATCGCATCATTATATAACTAATACCATTTATATATTATGTTTATTTTAAATATTTATTAACAAAATCTTAAAATAATTGAGGCAGAAAACCAAACCTTGATCCTTTATAAGTTTATATAATAAACTCTGACAATTGTGATCTTAGTAACTCAACCGTTACAAAGCTTGTAATATTGTGATAGTGATTTTTATTTTATCTACTAACAGTATATTATGAATCAGACAAAATGGCTTTCGGAGTTTATATATGATGTTGAATCAACACCTTTATTATGGAGTTTTGACGATCCAGAACAAGATGCACCATTACGATCTCAGTCCTCTCCCATATTGACGGAATTAACTGGCAGCAGACTGTATAGTATCACAAACATGACAGAATTCCAATGGCAGAATTGGGGTGCATCTGAAAATAAAACAGCAAGAAGTCAGAGTTTTCCTGATCCATCTTTAAAATTGAGAGGCACGAAACAGACTAGTTTGGCAGTAAGAAAACGCGCAAATGCAGAATATCTAGAATTTTCAAAAACTCCCGTGGAGATGTTGGAGTTAAAAAATTTGAATGAAAAAGGTAATAACCTTGAAGACCATCTTCGAAACGAGAAAAAAGACGGAATGGAAGAATTAGATGTTCCTGTATTTATGGATGGCGCAAACTTGCCAACGTATATTGAAGTCAAGCAGCGTGAAAGCGAACAAAGACGACTGCTCTCTGTGGTGAGGCCATTTCCATCATATTTAGCCATTAGTTCGCCGGAAGACACTGAAATAACGGAGTATCTGAGCGATGATAATGAGGATTTATGCAAAGAAGATATCGGCGTAGGCATCATCCAAGATGGCGAGATAATTACAATGGACGTGAATGACAAGTATTTTGAACAACACAGCAACAGATCCTCTGACAATGAAACTCCAAATAATGTAGAGTACATATCAGGAGGGGTAAGTAATCCAATTAACTAGAGAGAAAGAAAACTCATGTCTGAGACGAATGCGTCAAATACAGAATATAATTTGCGTATATATATTATACATTCCATCACTTTTCACGTGTATTATCAGAGCTATTTGAACAGCGATACTTTTTAGCTCGTTGAATAACTCGTTGTGGGAAAATCGATTTTGTCCATTTGCCAATTTTTGCATGATTTCATCTTTATCTCTCGAAAATATTGAAATCAAAAATTTAATATCTCTAAAGACTCTGCGATATCTGTTGACAAGCAGAACTCTTGCTTGGTCACACATTGTTCGATACCTGAAGTAAACCATGCATCAAATATTATTATTTTTAAAAAGTATATTAGTAGAGCATGTTAGTATTTTCATAATTGATATGCTAAAAGATCAGCTATTTTCAGTTACAGTATATGCTTTTGTTTTCAACTCAAAATTTCCTTTTTAGATTTGGTACTCAGACGAGGAAGAAGAGAAGGCTATAGAAAAAGAGGTCAAAAGTATTTGTGCTTATGAAAATCCAGCATTCGTACCGGATGCATCGGATGATGAACAAAGCGCGGTAGTAGAAGCCATTTCTTATCAGAACTCAATTCATAAAAAACTTGGTTCAGAAGATGACTTCAACACTAATGATAGAAAACCAAGACTACGGAACAAAACATTTTCCCGAGAGATTGACAGTGACAGTGCAATCTCACTTGATGACCATAGTGTTGATGAAAGTGTCAAAACTACTCAGCATGATGGAGATAACCTTTTACATTCTCTCAAAAGTGCGTCTCGTTTAGAAGATATTGGTGAAGCTTGCGAGTTTGAGAGACTAAAAGAGTCCATTTCAGTCGATTCCTTTAGCGTACATTCGACGCCATCGTCTACAAAGTTAGCTGATATAGTTTCTTTCGATGATATTGCTTCTTTAATAGAGAAATGTAAACCCGGGGGATATCTTTCATATGAAGAAGACAGGACTAGTAGCAGCTCTGAGTTCGAAATTATCTCCCAAACATCTACCTGTTCTCAGATTTTGTCGCCAGAGTCACCTCAACCGGATACCGCTTCATCACCAGTCAGTGACGTAAGCGTGGAAGCGGATTTGGTTTGGGATGCCTATATTCCTCCACTGACTTTGAGATGGTCCGATGTGATGATCAAACAAATATTTGACGTCGTAGAAAAGGATAACGAAGAGTACGTAACTCACATCCGCCAGATGGCTCGTAGTCGCGAAATAAGGCCTCTGAACATATTGCAGCGTCTGTGCTGGTAAATTAATATATTTTATGTGTAAGTCGCAGTCGTCTATTATTTTCAAAATTCTCACGTGATTCATAGACAAATAATTGGACTTTTTGAAGTCACATGGAGTGGGTAGGCAGGCTCAAATGTTCACTGAATTGTTAAAATTGGAAAATTGAATACGAGGGCTTGAACTTTTGAAAATTGTTCATAAAATATTCTATTCGGGTTCCGTGTTGAGGTTTTGGTACGACGCGAATGAATAGTAATTAATTTACATTGTGTCGCTTCATGTATTAGCATACATTTAAAAAATAACCCCGAATCATTAAATTTCAGGTTTGATGAAGATTCTGGATCTGTTCAAAGTCTGGTTGGTGTCTTTGAATACAACATATAGGTACATGATGCTAGTATTCAAATTTCAACGAAAAATGAAGTTTCAAGATTGACGTCATTCTAATGTGAGAGGAAGCGTGAATACGTGATATCGAATTGTTCGATGCACATGGACGTCGAATCTTTGATAATATCTTTGTCTATGTGTTGCAGATACCTATTACTGTTTGCATGTTGACCTTTGGCAGCCTTTGTTTTTATTAGGTTTCTTACTTTTCTCTCATTTCAGAATTTTTCTGCTAAATAAACTCCGATGGACACTAAAATTCCATGTTATGTTTCAACGTCTGCATAATATGAAACTCAATGAAACTTAAACCGTTGGAAGTGAAATTAAGTGAACTTATCATACAATTTTTGTGAAGATTCATCGATGTAGTGTAACTTTTTGTACGCCAATTTTTTTCTGTAAAGAATTTTGTATATAAAATACAGTAAAATCCAATAAAAGTTGTCTTGTATCTCTACCTAACTTTGGAATTTACTTGTTTCGTGGCTTAAATTTGATGAAAATATAGTGACGCACATATCCTGGTCTGGTCATGTCATCCCTCCGCCGGTCTGTTTTAAACAGATCTATGTGCTCCGACAATGAAATTTTTGTTTTTTGTATTCACGCTTTTTCGAGCAAGTCCTCAAAGTCAATTAAACATTTTAATCAAATTTAGGACTAATTTTTAGTGTCGCATGATTGCGATATATAAAGTTTCAAAACAAAGGAGTTAGAATAGTTTCGAGTATAATCCAAAGTTTCATGGCGAGATCGTGACAAAGCTACGCCCTCACCCTCATTGTTAATTGTTATCAATCGGTTATAGATTCTATTTTTTTTATTTATATATATACCAGAACAGTAATAAATAATATTATTTTATTGGGCTATTAGTAAACAAAGATTTACTCACGATATAAAAAGAAAGTGTATGATAAATAGCGAATACCGGTGAATATAACTATCAAAGTGGGCACAATGCAACGGTAATCTACCACATATACTAATTTGTTACACAAAAAATATGCGTACCTACATGTATTTCGTTATATATATAATTTGGGGTCAGTACAGGGTAATTTTTTATAAACATATTCCTAATTTGTCTGGTCCTAAGACCCACGATATTTTATTTTCCTTGGCATACAGTCAATGAAACCGCGCGTTATTGAGTTTAATTAGTTACGTATGCAATACAAAGATGTTATAAAACAATTTCTAATAGATCAAGTCGTCTAAATGCGACAAATGGTTAATTTATAATTAATTGTAGTAATTATAATCCTAGAACTCCTGTGTTCTGAAGAACTAATGGGCAATCAATACACACTTGACTCGCATTTTTTTTTACAGACAATCTGTCAGTGGATCGTGCATTTGTCAACCCAAAAAACAAGTGCACATTCAACAAAATCATGTAAAATATCACGAATATCATAAAAAAGTCATATCTAACTTCAATTGTGTGACAATATACTAATAACGTAATTTCTATTACGGAGTCGCGAGGAACCTTCAGATATCTTCAAGCAGCGATACCTACGACAGTACACTACAGCGTAAAAATACATTTGCCTTACTTGATGTTTGACGCATTATTGATTATTGCTTTGCTTATACATCATATGGTATCAATGATTCTGATCAATATCAAAATATATTGACACTTTCTGTCGCGAATCACGATGTCGTGGGCACGACCTGTCTTTTTAATTGGTTTCTTATTATTAATTAGGTCAAAATAGGATTTAGATTACATGCACTCCGTAATCTGTTTAAACAGCTAATGCAAATTTAAGGGACTGTTACGCACCTTAAAACTCAAGGTTGTCGAGTTATATAATTAACGTAAAACATCTTGTACGGTAATATATCTGAAGCAGAGCCAGTCATTTGTTGGTTAAAAAGGTTTAGAAGTGCGAATTTATGTTTTGCCACATTTACGTTATGTTAGTCTCAGTTTAGGTCTACTACATTCCGTGATAATACAGGTGAGAGCTTTTATAAAATTAATGAGTTGGAATACCAAATCTGTTGTGTTTACTATATCGAATTAAAAAATGGAAGCTTCAATTTAAAAAAATACCTAATCCAAATGTTTCTTTCTCAATAATGCTCACCGCGATATTCTGTTCATTCATTCTGATTTTTGACTCATTAACATTGTGTGTGAAATGATGGTGCGATATACCTGACAAAGTGTTCAGAAATGATCCGAAAAATAAGCGAGTAGATTTTGTTAAAATTTATAACATAGGTTGTACCTCGCATGGATCAATCATATGAATATGTGTCAATTATAGAGCTGGGAATTTCAGGAGAATCACTTTATCCGTTAACCGGACAAAATTAACCGGTTAACTGGTTAACCGCAGCGTGACATTTGACGTAATAATATACAATTTTAGCTTGTTACGTCACAATGGTTACAAAGCAATTTTGCGTGATCTTATCCCGGTATCGCTCAAAATTATTCACGAATGGAGATAGTTTCATGATCGCTCTGCTGCAAGAGATATATAGCGTGCTTAAGACATATGAAAATATTTTACTAAAATCCGAATCCGTTATTAAATGTCATTAATGTGACAAATTTTCAGTGTTCGACGTGCAAATTCTACTCTGAGATATCATAAAAAAAGAGCATCAACTGCGTACTTGTTGGATGACATTGAATATACGATTTTGCAATAAAATCGTGAACAATATATTTCGACCGAAAACTGATTCTGAATTTATCATTGTCAAATTTTTATAATTAGCAATATAGACAATTATTTTTCACATTTATTGGGTCCTTACAAATACAGTTAGTGATATTCTTTTGAATTAAACGCCACAGGAGATAAATTTGCGATGACATAATCATTTTGGAAAAAATTGTACATTATAAAGTTGATTTGTACCTGAGATGTCAGTTAACGGTTGAAATAAATCGTAACCGTTAACCATCTAAAATCGGTTAATCGATTAACCCTTCCCAGCCCAAGGGTGTAGGCGAGCTAGAAGGGATCCGGTCATGGCGAAGTGGCGTGATAATGTATCAATTTTACATTCTTTCGTAACAAAAACATTCTCAATTTTGTAAATCGTTATAGGAAAACATTTGTCATAAAAACAGTAACAAATGACAATTCGTATCCAATCGATACCCCAAATTCCGTGCTGGTCATATTAGATATTCCTTTTGAATGTACTTCATCATATTCGGAGCAATCACGTGAGCAACGATCAAATTGTAATAGCCATACTTCATACAGACTATAAATGACATCATGTTGTTCATTTATTCGAGGTATTGCAATATATACAGAACGAGTAGAACATTTTATTGTTGATTCCGCATAACTTACTCCATTTCCTGCAATCTGTGCGAATCGCAAGACTGAGTTGGCCTCGACTAATCACCGCTTGATCCAGAGACAAAGCAGCCATTTGCACTGAGGCCAGTGTTTTCGTGGACCGGATCTCAGAAAATTACAAATCTTTTGCAATGAAATTTATTAGCAATCAGAACCTTGAACTTGTTTTACGGAAATGAGCGGCTCACAACTTGAAATTATAGAACTTAATGAAAACCGAATTGTGCTCTGATTTCTAAAGTCTAATTCTTAGCATAACCTTTTATTTATTTTGCTAATCTAACCCAACTTTATAATAGCAGCCAATTGAATCGTGCATCGTGTTGTCGCATTTTTGACCTCATTATTTCGTATAAACTTGCATTATTTCATCACTAAAGGATTTTAAATTTTGCATTCTTTTTCCATGTAAGTCCAGCAGAAATTGCGTCAAGCGTTGTCTACAGCAGGGGTCGGCAACCTCTTGTCGCTCGCGGGCCAAAATTAGGGGTTGCAAGTCATTGGCGGGACTCCCGTATTTTTAGAAAGTTGAAAACCGGACGGATGATAATTTTTATAATAAAAATCAAGCAGTGATACATCTCTCGAATAGAATATAGATTTATTTCCTCATTGCATTTTATCTCAAAAAATTTCATTTGAATAATTTCGGCGTCATTGAACCCTTTGCACTTAGCCTCAACTTTACTGCATTTTGTTGCCATTTGTCTAATAATATTTAAATTATAGGCTCATTAAACGAGTAATTGTGAATTATATACTTGTCAGGTTATGATATAGTTTAGTCTGTTACGTAAAGAATATAATCGTCAAACAGCTGTTTTATTACTATAATTCAGTGAAGCGTCGCGGGCCGGATTAAATTACTACGCGGGCCGGATTAGACCGGCGGGCCGTAGGCTGCCGACCCCCGGTACGATCTCTGCAACAACAGGTCTGATGGTTGCCGACCACTGAAATAGCCTATCGGACCGCATCCAGTAGGCTACTAACGAAATTATTTGTACAGTGCTATAGTTCTTTGATATTACTATATTCGTTTTGCAGTTTAAATATCAAATGCAAAAACCTTTCACCCGAGATGAGCTTTTTCCGAAGAATAATTGAGTATTTACGGAAAAAACTCAGTCGTTTGACAAACGACGACTCTACTTCACCTACATGTAAATGGAACTTTGCGATGTCATCTCTGGTGTTGTGTCCCAACAATGTCGTAAGAGATGAATCGTCATTTATTCAACTTCATTTAAAATCCAAAACGGTGATTTTTTACAGCAATTATGCGGAAATAACAAAAAGCATGTGGCATATTTCCCAGTCAATCGTTGATGAAAACTCAACATTACGTACGCCAAGCACGGGTGATACATCAACTGTATTTTTGCAAGGAGTTGGGTTACAGATGGCAGTTTCTGTGGAGTCTGTCAAATATCGACAACCAATTAAAACAATCGGGGAAATTCAATACTTCCATCTGCACGGAAAAACTGTACTATCTTCCATCACTCCCGCGATATTGAACGGTCATAAGGAAAAGCGGAAAAAAACTTCTCGAAACAAAGAAGAAAAATGTTGGAAATACCAATTTATCACAATAGACGACATTCGTGCGGTTTCAAGGGACATTATTCAACTACCGAGGCAACATCTACGAATGGTTGTCTTTGAATATGAGTCCATCCGCGAAAAGCTTTTAAAGCAAATTAAAGTGAACTAGGAATATGTTTCTTGCGGAATTAAAATTAACCTGGGATTATTATATGCGTGCCGCTTCCTCAATAAAAAAAAAATTGAGCGATGGGAAAATCATTTTTTCAACTGTAAAAATTCCATACCATAAAACTGTCCAATATGACGTCCCTAATCCTTTTGTAATTTATGCATGCGACAATTTACGCCGAATCTTTTTTCGATGTCATTCATCACTGTTTATGCTTGATTACATTCCTTCTTTTTTTCGAATTATTTTTTATATTTTCCAATTGAAAGCTTCAATAATAATTACCCAATCCTATCATGTACAATTGGATATGACTCTTTTCTTTCTGGTGAGTTATTGATGAAACATGTTTCTCATTGTGTGTGAACGATCAGATTATGAGATGACTACCGTGATAAAACAGCAAAGCGTTTAGCGATGAGGCGTGTCAGACTTATAGGTGAGTATCAGCATGGCAAAAAGTATCGAAATGCCATCACCTTAATTGCAACTCATGTATTCCTCAGAGTCCGATTTCCTTTTAAATGAAACCTCTGAAGGCAAAGTCAAATATAGATAACATCTCCGGAGACAGATTGGTATGTGCGGATGGATTGAAATGTTAGCATTTGCAATATCTACTGCGGCAAGACGAAACTTTACATTGAGCAAATTGCCGCAGACAGTATAGGCCGTCTGTTTAAAATATGCGATGGAAATAACATCAGTCTCTTAAAATTTCTTTACTTTTTCTGCATAAAATTGTAGCCCCATCATGCTACAACGTTTACAAAGATTTCTTATAAAATCCAGGCCGTGACGTTTGAATGTCTCTCTGACTTTCGCGTTGAACATGAGACATAAAAATGTCCGGGTTAGTATAGTTTGGCACTTTGGAATTTATGTAGTCTCATTTTGAATATAAATGTTTAAAAAGTCAAATGTTACAGTGAAATACAGTAGTTTCGAATAAACGGAAGTGCTAAAATTTACCTTTTTTAAGAATTAATTTGAAGTTTAAGCTAAATATTTTTGATTACTGAGAAGAATTCTTACCAGAAATATAATTTTTGGACTAACAATTCCTGTGCCACAAAAATTCAAGTTATCATTTGACTTTTACAATGTGTCAACAAACAAATCTAAAAAGGAATTACAAATCTTAAAAGTTATTCCAATGCAAGAATAGTATTTCTCTCACAAAAACAACCATGCATATAAGTTAGGTATGCAGTTCTAACTGGCTCAATCAGCTACAAAGTGGGTATGATTTGATCTTGTGCCACATTGAGAAAACAAACAACTATTAAACTGAAAGAACTGGTGTCTTATGTACTCATAAGCAGATGAAGATGAATGTCATACAACAAAAATGAAACACTAGAAATTGTACAATATAACTAATATATAAACTATTATATACAAGCATGTGAAAAATTGTGTTAAGAGTTCAGTAAAATTTAAACCAGAAGTGCTTGCCGTATAAGTTGTTTCTTTTCTGGGGTCAACTTTTCTGGAAATTGAATATCAAACTCAATCACCATATTCCCTCGTTCTGATGGTCTTTTAGAAAAAGGCATTCCTTCCTTGGGTACAACTTTTTCATATTTTGGATGAACGATGTCATTGATTGGTATGTTCAAAAATCTGCCATCGAGTGTGGGTACTTCAATGCTGCACCCGATAAGTGCTTTTCCGAGTGGTATCTTTGCAACATATACCAAATCATTACCTCTTCGTTTGAATAAAGTGTGGGGCCTGTCCTGGACGACAAAAACTATATCAGCCGGAATATTGTTTGGGCCTTGATCCCCTTCTTGTGGAAAAGTAATCTTGGTTCCTGCTTTCCATCCAGGACGAACGTTGATGGTGAGGATTTTGTCTCGAATGCTAGAAGTGTGCCCATCTTCATTCATAACCCTCCGTGAAATTTTCATTTTTTTCGTACATCCATGATAGATTTCCTCTAATGTCAAATGAAGTTCTCTTTCAATAGGTGAATCTTGCTTCTTTCTCCCTCTCCCATGAATTCCTCCAAATGCATTCATTATATCAGGTTCTCCTAGCAAATCAGCGAATGGATTTGAACCTCCAAAAAAGTCTCTGAAAACTTTTTCCGCATTGCCATGAAAAGTATACCCATTGGTAAATCCCCCTCTATCCGATGGAATTCCACCTTTCAAGCCTTCTTCACCAAACTGATCATAGGTAGCTCTCTTCTTATTATCAGCCAGAACATCATACGCTTCTGCAATTTGCTTGAATTTTTCTGATGCACCTGGCTCTTTGTTTTTATCTGGGTGAAATTTCAAAGCTAGTTTGCGATAAGCTTTTTTGATGTCACTATCTGTAGCATTACGAGTGACACCCAACACAGAATAGTAATCAACACCCATCCTAAATATTTTTTTAATATTTATCTGAAATTTACCAAGAAAAATATAAGTTTACCTGAATTTAATCGCAACTGATTGATTAGGGTTAGTTGTTCTGCAATATCCATATGCTCAGACCCTAAATCTTACTTAGGAGTGAATTCTCATAAAATTGGGATATTTCACGATTATTAAAGAACTAGATTCGAGAACCGAAACGAGGCAGAACCATATATCTATACTATTTGTACAAAACCAAACCGAGGTCGGGGTAACTATCTGGCACTTGGGAACCGAATATTGATATGTAGAATTGAAATAAATTAAGCATAATTTCCTACTCTAGTCAGGTAAGAAAAACGAATTACAGTAAAAATATTCTTCATATGAGAGTTTTCACCGATATTTCTGAAATTTAAATAAAATATGATATCTAAATAATATAAAAAATAGCTAGACTGGAGCAAAACAAAATTTATTGTCAGAACTTTATATTATGGCAGCTGCTTGAATATTTTGAAACGAAATAAAGATTTTGAAGATATGAACTAATTTTCCACATGGCAACTTGCAGAGACACTAAAAAATAAAGCATGAAATTTTGGAATGATAATATTTGGGAAGAATTTTTCTACGATGATAACATCAACATGCAGATGTGCTTGATATTGATATGATCTTGATATTATGCTTGCGTGTATCACAATCACTCTAGGACCTTCAGTGTCATTTGACTGTTCCAACAAATAATATACACTTATGGCCTATGCGCCGTTTTAGGTTTGTTGACAAATGAGGGTAAAACATGCAACTGCATAATGCATTTCAATACTGTCTGCAGTACACAGCTTTCCAGCGCAGAGGGTGACCTAAGACGGTAATGAGTTTGTTTTTCAGCTGCATTGGGAGTAGTTTAATAATTATAGCATATAAATGGGCCACATGTGGATTTATAAGATAGGATTTTCATATTTATCCCGGGGAGAGGAAAGTTGATGAAACAGCTTAATGACATACCACGGTCTGTCTTTTGGTTACCTGTCCATGTCAGGTATGGGATTAGTTTGTCAGTTATTTGTTTTAGATGATGGACTTAAAGACATAGTTACCTTTGGGTTAGAGTTCTACATAGCTAATAATTGCATTGTACCAGTGCCGATGGGTTACCTAAGTATGCTGGCCCTGTGGCAAATATGCCCAAATGCCCTATAAATCAACATGCATTTGTATGTTATTATTTTAAAATAATTAACGAAGCAATATATGAACCTGAAACCACATCCGTGGGCGCTAGCGCTTCCTGAAAATGCATTCGAGCGAAATCCATCTTGCATGTCGGGAAAATTGTGATTGTTCGCTCAGTATAACTGACAGTCTGAAGGGTGGTGTAATGAAACAGCCACTGATAAACGGTGCTGACAAATTCTAACAGTATAAACTGACTTCGTTACCAGTATCTTCAAACTTGCATTTGTATATCAACGCCCTGACGCAGAACATTCAGCAGGAATTTAGATAATTGAACCACATTGCTGCGTAATGTCACTGATATTCGCAAATCATAGACCTTATATGGAAACAATGTCTATAAGCCTGGAATAAGTAATAAATATAACCCAACCATTTGTTTCCTGTATATGCGATTCAAAAAATATATATTGTTTATATATAGTCGTGGGATGTCCGAAATATGGTGGTAGGTGTGGTCCATAGACTACCGTACTCCGCCGCAGAAGTTAAAAGTTGGATAGAACGTACTAGTTATTGTGATCTGTGTTAAATTTCTCATGGACAAAGGCCATGATATCCAGACTGGCTCCATATACAGATAACGATATGCCATTTTGTGGTCTGAAAGTGCATAAACCTTGAAATACAATTTTACAGTATTCAGGTAGAGCACTCGTTGAATATTTTAGTTTCGCAAGCTTATCTCAATTACCTTAACCATCCAGTAATCGGACCAATTACAGATAAAACAGAAAAAGGTATTACAAAACGCAGTAACGTTAATTCGGGTTTCTTCGATTCTCGTGTTAAAAATTTAGGATAAGAAATACAATTAAATCATCCCAAAGTAAAAGATACTGAAATCTCAAGCAATCTATTAAAAACATAGTCAATCGGTACCAGCTGTATTTCCCCGTAAAACAAAACGTCAATGCGCAAGCGCAGCCAGAGCGAAGCAAACTAAGTACAAGCTTGATGATAACGAATCCTCAACAGCGCTGGTTATCATCCGTCGTTAGGACAACGCGCCATCAAGTGATAATTCTTGACCTTTTATCTTAATTGTTTTCATTTTTGACACTTTTTATGACTTGGTTTTCCAGTAATTTTCTTTCCGCCAGATGAAAAGGAAATTAAAGCTTTTAAGTTTTAAAGATTAATGAAGTTTCAGTGTTTTGCATAATTTACCACTAGAGCCCGCTACACTATGACACCAGTTAACCAAAGTGAGCTTGAGAGAATATGATTTAGGTATGTGAAAGAGAGGGTCTTTCTCTGTGGTTCCACGTTGACTATTCCTTGCTTACATTTTTCTACTGTTTCACTTGCCTTTGAAAAACTGCCTTCATTTTTATTAGTTGTACTTGAACTTAGTTTCAACTAAAGCTCATTTTGCACAGTCACTCCGCGAATCAAATAAAATCAGGTTTTGAACACCGCATTTTAATGAATGAATTCAGATGCTGCTGAATGAATGGACTATTCAGATGTTGAATCGTCTGCGTTAAAACGCTGTACAAAAACCTTTCTCGGATCACAGTCAGCTTTAAGGTCCTTCAAGCATCTCGCGTCTCTTGATTTTTCGGCCCGTAAGAAACGTCTAAAACCATAAAATCACTGCTATTTTTTCTGTGAGCCTTGAATGTTGCATTCTTATAAGTTACGTATATACAGTATATTTTAAACCCTTCGGCAGAATATAATCATGAAATCGAAATTGAACACTGACAGAAGGCCGAGAATTTGGGAAGGTTCACAAAAAACGCAACGCATGAAAAAATGTTTAGACTTGTGGTTCTCAAACTGGAGTCCGCGAGGAAATAATAGGGGCGCCGAAAATACGAGAAAAACTTATCCCAATTCAGGTCTCCTGTATCAAAAAATGCTGATATTTTTTCAATTACATCTGCACTTTTTGCAGTAGTTTTTAAAAAAGCGGAAAACGAAAATTCGCACAAAAACAAGTAGTTGTGAGCATAACGTGACTTTTAACGCATTTAAAATCATTATCCCTTTCGTCTCCACTTACTTATGTGAGCGTGGGTTTTCTACACTTGTTCAAATCAAGACGAAAGCAAGGAACAAACTTGATGTGCAAGATCATATGAGATAAATTAAGCTATTTGCGTACGCGAGGAGTGGCAGCTAATTTAAATGTTGTCCGAATAGCTCTATGCTATGTTCTTCTATTGTGTTTTCGGTTTGAAAATTGTGGGCGTCCGGGATTACTTCAGGGAAGCATAAGGGGTCCGCAGGTAGGGATTTGTTCAAAAAGAATTGTTTCAAATCAATTGCTTAAATCATGCTTTTTTACCTGTTTTGTTTTAAATGGCTGTGTTATTTGATTTTTTAGTATTAAATGGGTTAAAGCTAAAACAAGTGAAAACCTGCCAATTGCTTCTTATTCGCAATAAACCCTTCGAAACACCACGAATATCGATGACTTTCCCGCACATGCATTCTCAAGCTGTAGCGCAATGCGTCCCATGACGTGGTTAGTAGAAGAAGACGCAACCGATAAGTTATTGCGTGAACCGCACTGCGACGACACTAGCAATCTTCTTGCACATCGCTCATGGGATTCGAAGCAGGGCCGAATATATCATAAGACACGGTAGGCTGAAGCCGAGGGGCTTCAAACCAAATTTTGTAATTCACGCAATTTAAAAATGTAACCGTGATGTACATAATTATGATGATACATAATACATAAACCCAAATAGTCATATTATGACACAGTTGCGCCGTTATTGTCACAAAGCCTAGCCCCAGTTTGTCTCATCGTCTGAATCCGGCCTTCATTCGTTCGAAGATGCGAAGGTTGATGCCGAGCAAAGTGTATTCTTCTTTATCGTATTAACGCACTTGTTTTGCCCAATTTTTAGGCGGTGAGCGGGTCCCTGATCTAACTGTTTTCGTATTGAAGTAGGCCCGTGAGCTATATTTCATAATTTTTCTTGCCTTTTTTATTCGAAGCGTCTTCATGGTATCTCGGATAAACATATATCTTACATATTCGAAATTGTTATTCCGGCAACATGCGTAGCTGTCAAAACGCACCATTTTGACGTAGTTTCACGGCGATGCCTGTTATATATTATGTTGAGCTTACTATCATAGCTTGTTTACTACACTATCTGCTTGTGTGCTATATTGTTACGTCACAATGCTGTCTAGTGCCGTAAGTTGTTTTTCCTCTGTTTAGAGGTCTTTTGTTCTGAACTAGGTTGACGGACGGATGTCCAAATAAATCGCGTGCAGTTTTGTAATGAGTCTGTATTCATTACTTGTTATAAAGATAACAAATTGGCGACGAGGATTAAAAAGCCTTTTTGTGCCGGTTTGTAGCCATTTCTTGGGGAAGGAAGGAAAATATATCGAAGTTACAGCTTAATTTCGAGGATAGATAAGAGAACAGTCGCTGGACTGCGACGGAGTTAGAACTGATTATTGCAGCATAATCAGTGACTTTGGATATTCATAGTGAACAGCATTCACTGGACTGGGAACCCAAGGCCTGTTATTATATTGAATTAAACGGCAGTAAATTATTTGAGCATCGTTGAAGCACGATTGCAACTGTTAACAGAATAATGACGTCAGCATCATTGGAAGTTGCGCAATTCAACATTAATCGCCCAGACGAATGGCAACAATGGCTGCGACGATTTGAAAACATGTGCCTCGCCATGTCGGTTGACAACGCAGAGAGAAAGAAAGCGTTATTATTACATTTTGCGGGACCTGAAGTTTTTGACCTGTATGAGAATTTGCCCGCACCGCCGAATGCAGATGAAAATGATAATGTTTATGCCAACACCGTTAAGAAATTGGATAATTATTTCGTGCCAAAGATAAACATTGATTTTGAATGTGATGTTTTCAGGAATGCAAAACAGAAATTTGGCGAAAATATTGATACTTATGTGGCACGTTTGCGTAAATTAGCTGTTACCTGTGATTTTACGGATGCTGATCGTGAAATAAAACAGCAAGTTATTTCTGGTGGATGTGATTCTAGAGTTAGGGAAAAAGCTCTACAGCAGCGTATGTCTCTTCGAGAACTTCTGGATTATGCAAAAAGTCTAGAACAAGCAAAGCAACAAACAAAACAAATTGAACAACGTCACACGAGACCAGAGAAATTATATAAAATTGATGTGCAGCGTGAAAAGAATTCCGATAGCAAATTCAAGCCTAGAGCACCACAGCTTTCTTCGGCTGGAGGGGGTAAGTCTCTTAGATGTTTTCGCTGCGATAGTTCTAAGCACTTTGCCCGTGAATGTCCATTTAAAGATGCCAAGTGTTTTTGTTGTGGTAAAAAGGGCCATACCAAGAGTGTGTGTCGATTCAAGAAATCAAGTCAGTATAGACACGGCCAGAGAAGTAAGCAATGTAATTCTTAATGTTGTATCGCTGGTGATAAGAATACGCCGGGCGAAAGTGAAACGAATGAAAACTCTGGTTCATCATACGAATTACATCATACAGTGTCGTCCGTGCAAAATAACAATGTGGGTGTGAAATGCAATCCAATCTATCTTGATCTTGACATCGATGGCAAAAACATTTCTTGGGAAGTAGATACAGGGGCTACACTATCTGTCATGTCTTTAGTGCAATATAAAAAGTTGTGGCCAAAAGCAGAATTGAACCACACCGATGTTAAACTGTCTACATACACGGGGGAGTCTATTCCAGTAGAGGGAGAAAGGGATGTTACTGTAACGTATCAAAATGGTAACCCAATGGTATTGCCAATCACTGTGGTAAGAAATAGTAACCGCTGTAAACCATTGCTGGGGAGAAATTGGTTGAAACATATCAAACTTGATTGGAATTCAATTTTCAAAATTAACTATTCTGATGTTAAAATCAGTACACTGCTTGATAAGTATCCTGAATTGTCTTCACCTGGATTAGGTTGTGCAAAAACTGAAGCTAAATTGGAGATTGAGGACAGCGTTAAGCCTAAATTTTATAAACCACGACCCGTACCTCTTGCACTCAAAGAATTGGTCGAAGCTGAACTTGATAGACAAGTTGAAATCGGTGTTTTGAAGCCATGTAAAACATCCGATTGGGCTGCACCTATGGTTACCGTATTAAAAGATGATCAGAAGTCAGTTCGGCTCTGTGGAAGTTATGACTTGACTGTAAATAAAGCAAGTCGTCTTGAGCAGTATCCATTGCCAAAGGTGGATGAATTATTGACTAAATTTGCTAGTGGGGAAAAATTCTCTGTTATTGATCTGAAAGAGGCATATCTGCAGATACCATTGGCAGAAGAGAGTCAAAAGTACACAGTAGTTAATACACATAAGGGATTATTCACGACAAATCGTCTTGTTTATGGAATATCAAGTGCCCCAGCTATATTCCAGAGATATCTTGAAACACTGCTGGGTGACATGGCAGGTGTAGGTGTTTTCCAAGACGATATTGGAGTAACCGGTTCTTCTGATAAAGAACACATAGCCAGATTGGAAGAAGTTTTCAAGCGTCTTACAAATGAAGGTCTAAAAATTAATCCAAACAAATGTAAATTGATGGTTTCAGAAATTACTTATCTTGGATATCGTATAAATAAACTTGGAGTTCAACCAACTGAAGATAATCTGAGAGCTGTTCTGGATGCCCCAGAACCACAAAATATACATCAGTTGCGCTCATATCTGGGGATGCTTAATTATTATGGTAAATTCATTAAAAATTTATCAACTGTTGCTGCTCCTTTGTATGAACTTCTTCGTTCGAATGTTCGATGGCACTGGAAATTTCTGCAGATGCCAGTCCTTATGGAATCGGAGCAGTTTTATCTGTAATAACGCAGGAAGGAGAACGTCCTGTGGCTTTTGCATCCAGATCTTTGTCAAAACCAGAGCGTAATTATAGCCAATTGGATAGAGAGGGATTAGCTCTAGTATTCGCTGTTACAAAGTTCCATTCATTTTCATATGGAAGACCGTTTGTTTTGGAAACTGATCACAAGCCACTTCTCGGTTTACTTGGGAAGAATAAGCCACTTCCTGTTGCAGCTCCACCGAGAATGATCCGTTGGAAAGTATTACTTGATGGATATCAATACGAATTAGTGTATGTTCCAGGTAAAAACCAAGCCAATAGCGATGCCCTAAGTCGTTTGCCTTTGCCTGTTAAACCGGATTATATACCGCCTTGTGGCCTTGTAGTGAATCTTCTTGAAGCAGTCGATTCTACCCTTGTTAAAGTTGATGCAGTTCAGTCTTGGACGAGAAGAGATCCTGTACTGTCCGCAGTTATGCATCATGCTCAAATGGGCTGGCCAAAATCTTCTGACGTAGACCCAGAATTACAAATTTATAGAAGCAAAGAGACGGAACTAAGTGTCCATGAAAATTGTTTATTTTGGGGTTGTCGAGTAATTATTCCGCCACAAGGAAGACAGAAAGTGTTGCAATTACTTCACGATGGTCATCCTGGTATTTGTTCTATGAAAAGAATTGCTCGTAATCATGTATGGTGGCCTGGGGTTGATGCTGATATTGAAGAGTTGGTGAAATCTTGCAGTTTGTGTCAACAGTTACGTCCCAGTGCACCTCAAGTTCCTGCTAGCCCATGGTCTTATCCTAATGGTCCATGGCAAAGAATACATATGGACTATGCCGGTCCAGTTGATGGGGAAATGCTTCTTGTTATTGTTGATGCGTTTAGCAAATGGCCAGATGTGTGGATTACATCGTCAGTTTCTGCTCATGAAACTATTGAAAAGGTCAGACTTTCATTTGCTACACATGGATTACCACTAGTTGTAGTCACTGACAACGCTGGTTGTTTTGCAGGAGACGAATTTGCAACATTTCTAAAGGCAAATGGAGTGAAGCACTTGTTTTCACCACCGAGACATCCGGCTTCTAATGGCCAAGCTGAATCAATGGTAAAACAAGTTAAACTTGGATTGAAGAAACAAGCACCAGCATCTTTGTCAGTCAGACTTGTTCGGTGGTTATTTAAATACCGAACTACACCACATACAACGACTGGTCAGACTCCGTCGGAATTACTTTTTCGTCGTAAGATTAGAACGCATCTTGATCTAATCGCACCTTCATCACGTTTGAAGAAGTCAGCAGAGAATGTTCCAAGTGGAATAATAAGAACTTTTCACATTGATGACCCAGTTGTTATTACAGAAGTCGTTGGATCTCGTTTCAAATGGTTACCTGCCACAGTAACTGAAGTTATGGGTCAAATGTGTCGTGTTCGTTTGAACGATGGAAGAATTTTTAGACGTCATTTTGATCATATTCGACATCGATTTTCTGCTGATGATGTAATGGTACGTGAAGGGAATCAAGATTTTAGAATGAGTGAGAGAATACCAGCTGCAATTCCAACAGGAATACCTGATGTTGATGTGGGAGATAGAAATTCAACTCCTACCTCTACTGCTACTGAAGAGACTGATGAATCTCAAAATGACAGAGACAATGTAGACCCAGTTCCTAATTTTCCAGAATCGTCCAGTAATTCAAACATACCTTATAAAACAAGATCTGGCAGAATATCAAAACCGCCAGAAAAACTATCTCTATAAGAAGTTTTATAATTTTGTACTGGACAGAATTATAGTTGTAAAAGTTTCTTTGAATTTCTTAGTTTCTTTGTGAAATTCTGTACGTTGCTTGTATATTTGTTTTTGCAATATTTTATACCATTTGATTGGGAATGTTGGAATTCGGGTAATTGTGTTGTACATTTATTTTTAATATTTGGTTCTTGAATTTGTACAATATTTCCAAAAAGGGGGGAAGGAGTGTTACATATTATGTTGAGCTTACTATCATAGCTTGTTTACTACTCTATCTGCTTGTGTGCTATATTGTTACGTCACAATGCTGTCTAGTGCCGTAAGTTGTTTTTCCTCTGTTTAGAGGTCTTTTGTTCTGAACTAGGTTGACGGACGGATGTCCAAATAAATCGCGTGCAGTTTTGTAATGAGTCTGTATTCATTACTTGTTATAAAGATATAACAATGCCAGCCAGGGGAATTTCATTAATTAAAAAAACATAATATACAGAATAAATTAGGTTTGAAACAAGCCCTTGTTTTAAAACATGATGTTTTTTTAGAATTGATAAAAAACAAAACTTTATCCGCAGGCGTATTAAAGTTTGACAATCACTGGTTTAGACGCACTTTCACAATAAAATAGACCAAACCTGTAAAATAAGATTATTATATTACAAATGTTGTACACTGCTATAAATAACTCGACATTAACTACATTAACATTTCGAAGTTTGCCTAATTTTTTCAACACCTGTAATGAATAAAACTTGGCATAAATATTCGCTCAAGGCTCAATCTCAAAGCGTTACGAAACCTTACCCGAAGGGATGTTTGAGACATGACTAAGCTTTCCATAAACCACTACGCGGTTTAAATTAGTTGAGATTAGACCAGCCCAGGCATTTTTGTGACTGATAATGATATGAACATTTTGACCTAAATCAAGCTATCTAGAACGTTTTATTTTCCTACTCGCAGGGGTTGGAACAGGGGCAGCCGCGTCGGGCAGCACGTTATAGATCTGAGTTTGTTATACCGCCGTAGTACTGTGTTTCCCCGAAAATAAGACAGTGTCTTATTTCAATTCTCTTCCTAAAAATAACACTAGGGCTTCTATTCAGGGGATGTCTTATATTTTAATTTATCAAAAATAAAATTACAAAGTACAAAGGATTACGATATTTTAAAATATGCAAAATATAAAAACCGATATCCAATTACTTACGAATAACACGTTTTGATTCAAAATATCTGCAAAACATAGATTATTAAGCATTTAAAACATGTAAGAGAGATTTCTTTCTATCGACTAGGTCATAGGTTCTCAAAGTGCTCCGTACCCAGAAACCCAGGGGCTCCGCGAGCTATTCGGTTACTTTTCAAAATACTGACTTGGCTAATTTTGTAACTGTTCAAAGAAGCAATAACAGCTTTGATAAAATTGGACAACAATATAGCCTCGAAATATGGCAAAAAGGCGGAATTGAAAAATGACATTATTTATAAGTAGGAGCACAGCCAGGATTCTTAAGAGGGAGGGGTTCAAAATTGGAATTGGAAATTTCTACGCAACATTCTTCATTTAAATTTGCATTTAAAGTGTCTTGTCGTAATAATTCTAATTGTGCTCATCGTCACTCACGTTTGATTCGAGATTACTATTAGGATTACTAAAATGAAAGAATACTATTCTAAAACAAGAGAGCTACGCACAAATATATGGACACGTTAGACCAGAGCGAATCAGTCTTTACCGGTACCTTTGACGCTACCGGTACCCTCAAAAAAGTTCTGAATTTCCAGTAGCAAGAATTTTGCCGAATCAAAACGTACAGCCAGTCATGACACTGACTAAAATCCGTGTTCCCATGGATAAAAAATAATACAGCAAAATTTTAGACGAAATATCAAATTTCATAGAATTCACGGAAAATTTTGAAATAAATAAAAGTAATAGCCTTCTAGCGAAGAAATTAATCTTTAACCACTGAAAATTTCAAAGCAATTGGTCCAGTATTCGAAGAGAAAAGCGATTTTTTAAAAACGTGTCAAAGAACAAGAACAACAACAACACAATATTGAAACGATCGTTATGGCCACTAAACGTGTCCAATAACATAAAATACCCAAGGTCCGGGCAAAATATGAACGATTGTAATTTATTTTATTGCATGCGGCTAAAAGGTACAACGCATGCACAATTGACTGTGTTTCGATTTCGCAGTTACTATGATGAATAACCAAAGTAAACATAAAACTAAATTTTGTGATTCACAATGTCTATAAAAGTCTGCTGAAACAACACTTATAGTGTTATCTCCCATTTAAGTTTCAGTTTTAATATTTTAGAATGCCGCTTTCCAATCAAGAAATTCGAGTTGCGGATTTACCTCTTTATTAATTATTATTTTAGTATTTCGTCGCCGATGACTATAATATGATAACATGTTTTTTACATTGAACTCATAATTCCCCACGAGAACAAAAAAGCAATTATCGTTGTCATTGTGGAACAATACACGTATATGTCAATGGAAATTTTTGATTTAGGAAGAATAAACATCGGCGTAAAGATGTTTATGGTTTAAAACACGCCATACTGACGAAAACAATCGGCGATTGTAACAAAATGCAATCGCGCGCGTTTTTAGCGCTTTTTAAGTCTTCCAAAAATGTCAAAAGGGAAAAGATTCGACCCCTAATTTATTAATATGTTTGTCAAGTGTCAAATTTATAGCTTTAGTATATATAATTTATCTTTGAAATTTAGATTCATTTATGACTTGTATTAACCCTATTAAAAAGGTGTTGCATTCAAATTAAGTAAAGTACTTTTAACTTACTCGGGAATATTAATTGGAAAGTAACAATTTTAACATTTATTTTGGGGCTCCGTGAATAATGGTCAACCTTTTCAAGGGCTCCGCAACATCAAAAGTTTGAGAACCCCTGGACTAGGTCGTAAAAAATTCGCGTTATTGACTAGGTCCTATTTTAAGGGGAGGGCTTATATTAAAATAATTCGTGAAATTCAGGCTAGGTATTATTTTCGGGGTAGGTCTATTTTTCGGGAAAACACGGTAGTATACCGTAAATATATACTACTACGGTTATACTAATAACAAGAGAGCTACGCCCAAATATATGGACACGTCTGCTGGCAGTACAGTACGGTTTGCAGTACCGTCAGATCACAGTCTACAAATATATTCACACCAAGCGAAGCAGTACAGTAGGACACAAACTGGCATCCGAAGTCCGCAGAACGTTTAATGACGTCATAGCAAACACAAACAAATCTCACAGAGCTAACAGAAATATTTAAAATGAATAAAAGTAATAGCCTTCTGAAGAAAAATTATATCTTCAACCACTGAAAATTTCAAAGCAATTGGTCCAGTATTCGAAGAGAAAAGCGATTTCTTCAAAACGTGTCAAAGAACAAGGACAATAAGAACAACAACAACATAATATTGAAACGATCGCTATGTCCACTACGTGTCCAACAATAAGAACAACAACAACATAATATTGAAACGATCGCTATGTCCACTACGTGTCCAACAAACATTTCACTCTTACTTGACCTTTAATTTGTTCATTCACATGTATAACAACATCTATAATTTGTTTATTCCACGAAGTATTTTTGAAGTCAGGTATAAGGGTCATCATTTTCAGAAATTCTCTCCGAGCAGCAGAAAAGTTTGACACACCCCTGGTAGGAACAACTCTCCTAAATACATATCGCCTCAATAAGAGACATTGTTTTCCTAAAAAAATATGTTCCTACCGTATTGCAATTTACCTAATTACCGTTGTAGCTAGATTAATAAAATGTAAACCACGTATCTGAAAAATGTCACTTTTAGATAAAAGTGCTGCCGATATTGCGGTATTTTACTGTGAATTCAATTCATATTAACTGTTATTTTGCTGATATTAAGGTATTTAATGTAGGCTTGCACGTAATTGACAAAAATCAATTCCGTAATTACGGCAAAATCAATTACGTAATGACCCCGTAATTGCGATATTTTTCCACGCATTTAAACCTATCTTAACAACCAATTGAATCCACTTCCTTCCCGAATGGGACATTGAAGTTGGGTTTTCATATTCTTGGCAGTACTACACGCCGTCGGCAGATGTTAAAGACAAATATCAAGGAGTGAATTCAAATTATTTTTATTCTGATTTTTATCCTTTGTGTTAGCTTTGGTTTTCCTTTATCACCTTCGCAAATTACCCGTCCCATTTTTATGCGATCAATTTTATTTTATCATTACCGACACTGGTATACGGATATTTATGAAAACGAGTTTTTTAAAACCACCTTAGTGCTGAATAAAAATTACGGGTTTCTAATTTATTAACTAACGACGAGCGTATTCTCTCGTTTGATTATACTTGCGATTTCCTCGCGACGAAGACTTGTTTTTGCAGCGTCTTCTGCATTATCCGACATTACTGCCTTCTTAGCATTTTATAATAATAATTATTGATGTCGACTAATTGACGATATTCCGATTACCATGCTTCATTTTACATTTAATCATTTCGCGGACTGAATGTTTATAACATTATTTGCGATAAATTTAGATCAAATATCATTTATTTGAGTATAATTTAAATATGGAACTTATATGATATGCCTTCTCCGAAAACACAAAGTTATATCGCAAAACAATGCATTTTGTGACATTTATTTTACACTCACGACATTTATTTGCTAACTCAAGTCGGCGATCCTATCGGCCAAGATTGACACAAGTTTGGTCGAGTGCCGGTGGTATTCAAGTCGACGATAAATCAAAATAAGTTGCCGCATTTGGTAAGACAGTTAATCATATATGGCCGAAATATTGAGAGGAATTGTGAAAAACATCATGAGCAAGTCCGGACTGATATATAACGATAAAACCGTTAACAGAACATCAAGATTTTGTAACAGAAATGGATCTCGCACAGAATAAACACACTGGCTCATATTTGATTATATATGATAGCAGTTAAATTTTTAG